ACACTTGTAATCCTTAGTATCCAGAAATGGGGGGGTCAGAGATTCAAGCTTGTCATCCATTACACAGCAAGTTTTGAAGCCAGCTTGTATTATATGAGTGTCTTAAGTATTAATCAGTGGGCTGGAGATAAGGCTCAGAGATTAAAAGCACTGTTCTCCCAGAAGACCTCGGTTCAAATCTCAGCACCCAGATCACAGCTCCTGATCTACCCTCCCTCCACAGGTACCAGACACACATGCAAACACAGCACCTAGAAACACAAAATTTACTTTTATGATAGCCTTAACATGTAGCACTGGCTAGCCTAGAACTCTCTACAAACTCTTCACCTCATAGACAACCACCTGCCCAACTGCAGGAATTAAAGGATGTTACCATGCCCAGTCTGTTTCTAAAAATTACTTAAGATGTAAATAAATTAATGTAAAAGTGAAAGGATCCACTCAAGATAGTTACCAACAACCATGCTAATTAAGCCAATTAAGACCACAAGAGTTCTTTAATAATGGCCAGACCAGCCAGGTGGTGGTGGCACACGTCTTTAATCCCAGAACTCAGAGGCAGAAGCAGGTAAATCTCTGTGAGTTCGAGACCAGCCTTGTCTACAAGAGCTAATTCCAGGACAGCCTCCAAAGACAGTAACCTTGTCTCCAAAAACCAAAAATAAATAACAATAAAAAAATAATGGCCAGACCAAGAGTAAGCTAACTCCTCCAAAACGTGTCTTTGGTGCAGCTCACTTTAAAGGCAAAATCAATTATGTGAGTGTGTGTGGGGGTGGTGTCTTTGCACAGCTTACAATTATGTTTTATTCATGAATCTTCTTAGCTATTTTAATTTTATGTTTTAGCTTGCACAAACATCTGGACAATGGTCAGGGATGACAGTCCTAAAAGTGCTGCCAAGGTGGAAGTGGTTATGCAGGGTGAGGCTGAAGTATTAAGGCAGTTTTTAACAAAATCTCAATGGTTCAACTTTACCAATAAAAACTTGGGAGCCAGATGCTGGGGTGAAAGCCTGCAAGCTCAGAGGAAGAGAGCACCCCACGGACTTCCTGAAGCCCCCTTTCTTACAGTGTCCAACAACAAACCACAAACTAAGTGCCCCTCCCATCTTCTTCCTGTGCATCTCTCTATCCATCCTCCTGACTCCCTTACTCTCTATGGTTTATTCCTGCCAACTGATTGCTGGCTCGGTCTCTTGAGCTGTGGTTGACTTTACTTGATCCTGTTTACAATATTCAAACAGAAAGCTCTTGGATTAATGCTATGTTCTAGGTTTTTCTAGTAAATAATGCAATCTTGGAGTTCAGTGTGATCATATATCCTGCAACAAGACAGACACAAAATGGAGTCAAGGCAAAATGGTGTTACCATAAATTCACTTCCAACGTATTTTAACTGAAGAAATGACATGCTAAGGTGGCTCGGTAGCAAAGCACTTCCCTAGGTAACATTTAGTGCGTGTGGGCACCAACTACTGGTACCCACATGGATACCACCTCATCATCAACATTTTAACCTACTTTTCGAAAAAAGAATACATTGATTGACCCAAGCTACTATCTGCTTCTATAAACAGATGCCAGACATGGTGGCACAGGCCAGTAATCCCTGCACTTGAGAAGAAGAAAAAAAAAAAAAACAGAAGAATTAGGAGTTCAAAGTCACTTGCAGCTATGTATGAAGTTCGAAGCCTGACTGCCACAGAAACAAACGGGGTGGGGGTGAGGAGTGGCGGGTGCATGTTTGGGAAACATTGCCACTGTGATCTACAAAGCAAGACCCATCTCCAAAATTTAAACTAATTTAGAGATACCATATAAATAAATGATCCTCTAATAGCACAGTGTTGGAGTAAGGGGAGGAGCTAAATGAAACTAAAAAGACCGGCACTCAGGAGGCTAATGCAGGTGGGCAGCCCCAAGTTCAAGGATAGCTGACACACATCAAAAACACCCACAAGTTAGGTCTGTAAATGTATTATGAGTATACAGTATGTTTAATATTCTGTGTATTTTTAAGCCTAAAAACTGAAAAAGAGGAAGCCAGAGAGATGGCGCCAGTGAGCTAAAAACACTTAAGTACTATTTGCAGCATGCACACTGGGCAGCTCACAACCACCTGTAACTACAAATTATGCCTCTGGCCTCAGTGGGCGCCTGCATCCATATAAACATAGCAGCACACATAAAAATATACATCATTAAGAATGGTTGTTTTACTACCAAGCGAGTTCCAGGACAGCCTCCAAAGCCACAGAGAAACCCTGTCTCGAAAAACAAAAAAAAAAAAAAGAATGGTTGTTTTGGTGCTGGAGAGATGGCTCAGAGGTTAAGAGCACCACTGGCTGCTCTTCCAGAGGTCCTGAGTTCAATTCCCAGTAACCATATGGTGGCTCACAACCATCTATAATGAGATCTGGTTCTCGTTATGTTGCAGACATACAAGTACAACACTGCATACATAATAAATAAATCTTTTTTTTAAAAAATGGTTGTTTTGGCTTGCTTTTGCCAAACAGGGTTTCTCTGTAGCTTTGGAGCCTGTCCTAGAACTCGTAGACCAGGCTGGCCTTGAAATCACAGAGATCTGCTTCCCAGCACTGGGATTAAAGGCTCATGCCATCACCACCCAGCTAAAAATGTTTTTAAGTTAAATTAAAATTTATAACTTAAGAATTGGAAGCCAGGCGTTGGTGGCGCACGCCTTTAGTCCCAGCACTCAGGAGGCAGAGGCAGGCGGATCTCTGTGAATTCGAGGCCACCCTGGTCTACAGAGTGAGTACCAGGACAGCCTCCAAAACAATACAGAGAAACCCCCCCCAAAAAATTGGGATTGGGAGGAGGAAAAGGAAGGGTAAATGCTATATTTCAATTAAGATAAACTGAGAATAAAAAAATTAAAGGGAAATAAGGAGATGAGAAGATAAGACAAAGCTGGAGTTAACACCCTATCTTTAATCGTAGCACTCAGAATGCAGAGGCAAGCCAATCTGAGTTCAAATCAGCCTGGTCTATTGGTCTACATAAGATAGTTCCAGGACAGCCAAGACTACACAGTGAGACTGTCTCTAAACAAAAAAAGGCAGCCAGAGCCGAATGAAAGAAAAACACAGAATGGAAGAGCCCATGCATCACACATAACCGGCAAAGAACCAGTAAACAAGCAAATCACCGACACTTCAGCACAAAAGGAAATCCTAACAGCAAACTTGATGCTCAGTTATCTTCAGCTTCCATCCCATGTCCAAATGTCTCTGGACCTATCTGCCCCAAGCTTGGACCAGTTTACATTCCACTGAAAGGCGTCTTCTGTCTGACCCCTTTCATTTTTCCGGTTTACAGATTCTCTTCCAGATCAGCTTGCAGAACCAGAACCCACTCGGATCTGGCTAGCTCCAACTTGTCCTTTTAGTTTACAGAGCTTGGCAGGGTGGTAGTGGGCAAGCCTGTAATCCCAGCACTCGGGAAGCAGAGGCGAGTGAATCTCTGTGAGTTCGAGACCAGCCTGGTCTACAAGAGCGAGTTCCAGGACAGCCTCCAAAGCCACAAAGAAACTCTGTCTCGAAAAACCGAAAAAAAAGGAAAACAAAAATCCTAGCTTGAGCCCAGCTTCCCCCTCTCCAAAACACACACACACACACACACACACACACACACACACTCTCTCTCTCTCTCTCTCTCTCTCTCTCTCTCTCTCTCTCTCTCTCTCTCTCATTCTACTTTGGGATCAGTTTTTACTCTGGATACATTAAAATAAAATACATAAAGTACCTTACAGTAAAAAGTAAATGAAAGCCGGGCGTTGGTTGCGCACGCCTTTGATCCCAGCACTTGGGAGGCAGAGGCAGGCGGATCTCTGTGAGTTCGAGGCCAGCCTGGTCTACAAAGTAAGTTCCAGGACAGCTTCCAAAGCCACAGAGAAACCCTGTATCGAAAAAAAAAAATGCAACCTTTATTTTGGATACCACAAAAATCAACTCACAACCAAGTAAATAATAATTCCTCGCCAGATGCTAGCTTTTATGCTGGCAGAGGTTACTACTTCTTTAGCTGGCTTTGAGATCACACCTAGCCGGGACCTGGAACACACTACAGCAAGCGCTCCAAGTTAGAAGCTCCAACCCTAGACTATTCCAGTGGCTTTTCCCGATAATTTAAATACACAATTACGGGCTGGGCATGCAAGTTTAGTGGTACAGCATGCAAGATTCTGCGCTTCGGGCCCAGCACCAAAAAAACACCTCCCCCCACACACACCCAGAGACTGACTCTACAATTACAGCTAAACTTTGAAAAATCCAACAACTTCTATAGGACACTCGAACAGGCATCAGAAATCGCTGCGAAGAACCACTGGCTAGCGATGTGCTCTGATTTCTTTTTTTCTTTTTAAGTCTCCATGTCATCACTGGCTTCAACAGCCACCAACCAATGTGTTTAAAATAAAGGCCAGCTTTCCAAAAACAAAAGAGTCTCCTAATTGTCTCTACAAAAGACAGGCAAATTCACAAAGCACTAGGACAACCCCAGATATGCTTCCCCAGCCAATTTTCTTGGCCAGGGCGCTACACCCCAAGACTTCGAAAAACCCCCTCGTGTGCAATCGTACTTTACAAAACTGCGTCGTCCCAAACCGGAACACCTTTTCCCACCTGATAACAAACTTCCCACCTGCCGCCCAAGTTTCCTGCCGTCTTTCCCCGTAAGCACCCTAGGATGTTGTGGCTCCGCCCCGCCCCGCCCCCCCCAGCCCGCACCGGACAACAGCCCCCCCACCCCGCTCGCGGGGCTCCCCCACCCCGGTCGATGGGGGGTCTCGGCCGCAGAGTCTCCTGACCCACCCCACCCCACCCCAAAGTGGGCACGCGCCTCCAGCGTCCCCCCGCAAGCCCCAGGCACCAGCCCCGCTCCTCCGGCCCGGCCACTCACAGCCTCCCCCTCCTTCCGGACGCCCCGCGCGCCGCCTCAGCACCCCCACTCCGCCCAGCCGGGTACCTGTCCGGAGCGGCCGGCGCGGCCGAGCTCCGCAGCCTCCCGTTGAGGCTCTTCGCCTCGGGCGACGAGGCGGACACCGCCGCGGGCCGGGACTCGGATCTAGCCTCGCTCCAGGCCGCATCCCCGCCGCGGGAAGCGGAGGCCCCGGGGACGGCGGCGCCTTCGCGGGAGGCTCCGGCCGCGGCCTTCTTGGTGTCCCTGAGCGCCGGGGACTTGGAGAAGAAGCTGTACAGGGTGCTTTGTCGCGACATGGTGAAGCAGGGACGGCGTGCCAGAGCGTTCCGCCGCGGCGAGCGCCTGCAGGTACCGCCTCCGCCGCGCGGCAGCTGCTGGCGGGAAAGTCGGGGGGAGGCGCGTCCGGCCCGAGCGCCCGGAGCCCGGCAGCCAATCCGCGCGCGGCCTCGGCCTGCGCGGTGGGCGGGGCCCCGCCTCGGACGTGCCCCGGCGTCGGTGGGCGGGGCCTAGCCGCCCCGCTGCCCCGCCCTCAAGCCCGGGCTGGCGGGCCTTGCGACTCTGGGCAGGAAAGTTGTTGGGCTTGCGGTGGACTCCTTGGGAAGTCCACCCGCCAAGGACGGAAGTGGCGAGCGCGGTCTCCTGGGCCCAAGCCGGAACGACGGGTCTCCCTGCGGGAGGCCGCATAAAGCCTACCCCGGAAACACCTGGCGCTGCGGTCGGGGCTGCGGTTGGACGGTTACTGTTCCCCCGGTACGGTGCATTCGCAGAGCGGTGTGCAGAGTGGCGCTTGTGAATGCCGAGTTCAAACCAGCAATCCGCAAAACATCCTTTGACCCATCATTGCTTCAACTACTTTATGCCTCATAGTCTCTGAAGTTGACCGCTGAGGTCCACAGGCTTGTATCAGCTGTGCAGGCATAGGCGTGCAGAATGCTTTGGATTTTAGAAACTGAAAATGAATGTTAAGGTAGTGTCTAGAATCGAAATCTGGCCCTAGCAACCTTAACATCCATCCTTAATAATTAATAAAAGAGACAATAACAATAACAACCGAAAAAAAAAACAGAAAGGAGATTTATTGAATGGAGCCACATCAGGAGGAAGAAGTCCAGAGGCCCCGCCAAATTCATCTTTGAGGTACTGACATGAGGTTTAGGTCTGAACAACAACAGAACCACTAAAATGGCAAGGGGTAGTCTGGCCCAACATGGTCTCTGCTCCAATCTGTCCTGCAAGGTGATTGAACGAAATTCAGAAATGTGAAATCTCTTTCCAGGAAACGTTCTCCTCTGACTAATAACAGGTTTAGCCTCCCCACTCCCCCCCTAGAAATTCCAATTCCTTAGCATCCTTTGTTTCAGATGCCTGATAGACAAAGGGAGGGAATTTAAGTGTCTCTTCTCAGCATGGCTTCCTGCCAGATTGGTTACAAGAGTTTTAGGAAACTAGAGTTCCTATTCAAATTCAGGAAAGAGATTGGAGCCATGTATAATCCCAGCACTTAGGAGGCAGAGGCAGGTGGATCTCTGTGATTTTAAAGCCAGCCTGATCTATAAAGTGAGTTCCAGGAGTCAGAACTCTGTTACATAGAGACCCTGTCTGGAGAAACCAAGCCCCCCCCCAAAAAAAAAAGGAAAGGAAAAAGGAAAAAGAAATTGGGAGGTTCTTTGATCTCTTCTCATTCCAGCTCTAAATAAACATGGACTCAGTCCCAACTATCAACAACTTCACTTTGTCAAAGGGTTGTTGTGCCAGGCTTAAGGAATCCCAGAGACTAATCCAAGGAGTTAGTCTGATGCAAAAGCAAAAGGTTTCATTTATTGTTCAGATGGCCAGCTGGGTCTCTTTCCATGGTGGCGGAAATCAGATTCCAACCAGCCAAAAAGAGAAGCTTTTAAAGGGGCAGACCATAAAGTTGAAGGCCAAAAATTTCAGTTTCCATGGTTACTTAAGGTCATAAAAAGTACAGAGTAAAGCAGTTACTATATATTTTAAGCAAGATACATTTGAGTAAGATAAGACAGGGCATGGGCTTGCAGGGTTACAGGGTCACAGTGTCTGTCAGTTATCCCTTGGGCCAGAGAATCTTTACAACTGGCAGGGGACCTTTGTGACCAGCAATTAGCAAAGGAATGTTAACAGGAGTAGTGGACAGTCACCTCCCCTTCTCTGAGGGCAGGGGCTCAGGTGCCAGCCATGGCACTCCTGATTTAAGGAGTTAAATTTTCCTTTTCCATTAGAAGTTCCCTTTCTCTGTATAAATTTGGGTCCAAGTTTTTAAACTCTTATTAATTTTAATTTTTGGTCCCTCAGGGTAATAATAAGATTTGCTCTGAGCCGGATGTTGGTGGAGCACACTTTTTTTTTTTTTTTTTTTTTGGTTTTTCGAGACGGGGTTTCTCTGTATTGGAGGCTGTCCTGGAACTCACTCTGTAGCTCAAGCCTTTAATCCCAGCACTCGGGAGGCAGAGGCAAGCGGATCTCTGTGAGTTCGAGGCCAGCCTGGTCTACAAGTGAGTTCCAGGACAGCCAGGTCTGTTAAACAGAGAAACCCCATTTCAAAAAACAAAACAACAGCCGGGCGTTGGTGGCGCACGCCTTTAATCCCAGCACTCGGGAGGCAGAGGCAGGTGGATGTCTGTGAGTTTGAGACCAGCCTGGACTATCAAGCGAGTTCCAGGACAGCCTCCAAAGCCACAGAGAAACCCTGTCTCAAAAAACCAAAAAAAAAAAAAAAAAAAAAAAACAATAAAAAAAAAGATTTGCTCTGAGCTGGGCTATCCTGGAACTTGCTCTGTAGACCAGGCAGGACTTGAACTGAGAGATCTGCCTGCCTCTGCCTCCCAAGTACAGGGATCAAAGGTGTGTGTCACCACTGCCCAGCAGAGCACAAGGTTTTTGAAGGCGTAAATCACACTCTGGCATCTTACCAGGCAGGTAGGCGTGTGTGTGTGTGTGTGTGTGTGTGTGTGTGTGTGTGTGTGTGTGTGTGTGTGTGTGTGTGTAAACAAGCAGAAGCTAAGATAAGCAGTTATCTGGAGGAGGGGTTTGCACATGCAGGCAGTTTAACAAAAGATAGGTTAAATTAGCTGGGACATCTTGACTGTGGGTTCCTAGAATAGAGTTGGGTAGTTTTCCAAGGGAGATCAAACTCTAGTTAAATCTTCTGAAAAGGCCTCAAGGAGGACACCAGACAGAAGAACTTCTGCACCTTGTCACCCTGTCACAGTGCTAGCAGATCGATTTTCAGTGACAGATTCCTGAGGATCCTCTTCCTGATCCAGGAGATCAGAAATAAAGAAGACAGGAATGTTGGGATCAGGTCTGCATCAGCTGAAGACTTGTGCCAGCACGTCTATAATGCACAGCATCGTATATCTTATTTTTGAGGGAAAAACTGGACAGCAGAAAACCATCACACAATGGGGGGAGGTCAACAGGAAGCTAATCAAGCAATTATTCACAAAAAAAGGACACAGGGTTTCTCAGGTGCACATCATACTAATAGCATAACCAGAATCAAATCTCCCAATGCCCTGACTCCAGGTCATAGGAAAACTATTCCTTCTTCAAACATTATAGCCTCATGGAAAACCTTGGGTTGGCCTGATCTCAATAGCTTCACAACAGCGCTCCCCCCCTTCACAGACACTTTATTCTACAGAGACATTGTGAGTCCCTAGCTAACTGACTTCCCAGGGCCCTGACACCTTACCTGGGAAGTGAGTTTACATCCAGGGTATCACTGTACTGTGTTTACTCCCTTCCCTGCCTCCCTTCCAGCTCTCGCTATCAAGACTCTCATGCCCAGAGAGCTAGCTATAAGAGGCTCCCTCTGGGGCTGGAGAGATGGCTCAGAGGTTAAGAGCACTGGCTGTTCTTCCAGAGGACCTGAGTTCAGTTCCCAGCAACCACATGGTAGTTCACAACCATCTATAAGGGGTCTGGCGCCCTCCTCTGTCATGCAGGCAGACATGCAGGCAGAACACTGTATATTCTGTATACATAATAAATAAATCTTTACAGGGGAAAAAAGATGCTCTCTCTGACAAAGAGGCTTTGGCTCTCTTCGGAGACCCCCACCATGTTGTCTGCCTCTAGTCCTGTGGCCTGAACTCTCCTCAAAGCCCCTGCCAGCCCGCTGTCCCTCATTCCGTACAGTAACTCTTCTAATAAACTCCCTGTTCCCTAGTAATCGGCCTCACTTCCCTCTCAAATAAGCATTAGCCAAAGCCTAACACACCCTGTTAATCCCAAAGATAGCAGGAGAAAAGACCACCAACGCAAATCATCATGGCCAAGTTAATTAAACCTGAGGTGAGGGTTAGAGGTCAGCCTGGAGTAGGTGTGGCAGCACACGCCTTTAATCCCAGCATTTGGGAGGCAGATGTAGACTACAGAGTGAGTTCCAGGACAGCCAGAGCTACACAGAGAAACCCTGACTCCAAAAGAAAACAAAAACAAAAAAAACACAAAACAACAACAAAAAAAAAGAGGTCAGCCTTGGATGTGAGACACAAGGCTTTTATAGCTCAGGGGTGGGGGCGGCGGGAGCCCTACATTGAGAACTTGGGTTAAGCAAAATAGGCGGGGTTGCAGGAGCAAGCGTTGCAAGATATTTGATCACACTTTTTCCTGAGATGGCATTATTTACTAGAAAAACATGTTTCTAGTTGTGGTGTGGCTTTAATCCAAGAGTTCTCTGCTTGAATATTGTAAACAGAATTGAATAAAGCCAACCATAGGTCAAGCAACCAGCTGAGAGGAATAAGCCATAGAGAGTAAGAGGCCATTGTGGGGAAGCAGGATAGACAAACACGACAAACACAGGGGAAGCGGAAGGGAGGGACTTTGGAGTTGGAGAGGTTTTTTTGAGATGGTGAGGGAGGAGGATTCCTCCATAGGAGGAAGTTAAACTGTGTGCTTTCTGTGCCTCTCTGAGCTAGCAGGCTTTGACCCCAGCGTCTGCCTCCCCAGTTTTTATGGAGCGCTTGAGTCTTTTGTTAAAAACAGCAGAACACATAGTCCCTCCAGAAACGCATGCATGGTTGCAAGATGGGGTAACAAGGCAGCCATAGGTGCTCATATCACCACTCGAAATAAAGATAGGGCAGCGATGAAAGGGGCAAACCAAACTCAAGGGCTTCACTTCTAATAAAGGGACCAGACCCTCACTCAGCCCCCTGCTTTAGTAGCCATGACAGACTACAGAAAAGACACATAGGCCTCTGACACAAGGAATCTCCAGGTCCTCTGGCCTCCCGGAGCCTAGGGCCAAAACTGAACACAAAGAAACTCCAGACACCCCTAGCCTCCTAGATACTTGGTTTCTGGGAACTGTTTGGCCACAAAAGAAACTCCAGGGGAGACCAAAACCT